TTGCATCGATAAATAAAGTAATTCATTATAAATTATTTGAGTTCTAGTCAAATTGACAAATTATCAATAAAGCCATATCTCGGTACTCATCACTGATCAGTTCAGTTTTAATGCTTCGCAATTAATTAGTTAGAAAATACGCAATTGAAGAGAATCCTCAAAATGTAGACGACCTCGTATTATCCTGAAAATAAATTTGTTCTTTCTTTATTCAAACTAATAAGAGGAACCGCCTGTATGAAATTAATCACAGTTCATATCTCTATAAAACACAATGCATTCCACGTTGAGTTGGTGTGGGGTTGCGGATGGGGAGCCAACCTTCTGAAAGATATCCAGACATGACAATGGTTCGTAAGTCTGTTGACGTTTGGTCAAATGAAGTTACTCAGGGAACGGCTTGTTGACAGGTATTTACATTTAGTTACCCATTGTCGCTGCATTACAGTTGGTATTATCTTGCCACCCGATATTCTTCAACAACTTCAAAAAAAATCATCACATCTGACTACTTATATGTGTATCTAGGTCGTTCGATGTGTGTTTTATCGAAAAGAGTCAAAGAACATTATCCCGCTTGGCTACAAACAGGTAGCAGTGGATCAATAATTAGTGCTATAATCGAACTTATATTCAACACTGGTCAACCAATATATACGGAGAATTCATTCAAAGTTATCTACAAACTCAAAAGGAGCCTCCTGAAAACGACAAGCCTTCACATACTTTGCATTTCCAAGACCTTAACGATTCGGATGAAAAACCCTGATCAAAGTACACAGAAGAAACTTCTCCACTACCCTCCTTCTACCTTGAGTATAATTCCAAGTTCAACTGCTTTTTTATTAATACTGTTTGTGCATTTCGTTTTTGACATTTATTTTAATCAGTTTTTTCTAACTAACCTCCTGTTTATTCCTTTCACCTAATACATACTGTTCTATTAACATCCAATTTTCTCTGAACCTTTTAATATTATGTAAACCTAGTCAAAGCTAACTAATCTTCACCCCACCTCTCCTGGTTACAGTTAGGACTATTCATCATATTTCTGAAATATTTTGATAACACAAACAACAACCCAAACTAATTTTTTTATTCTTCTTTGACAGACCTTGTGTGCACACGCATACAAATAGGAAAATGTTTACATATTATTGCTATTGTACAGCCAACTGAATGAATTCGCGGAAAAGAGGACTATTCGCTGAACTGTTTGTTCCTGTTTTCATGTCTGGATAGGTATTTTTGGTGAGTTAACATCAGTGTTGCTTATTTTGGTGGTAGCCGCCAGTAGAATCCATGATTTGCATTTTCTCCTATATGGGACTTCTCAGAAGAATATTACTTTCCCCAGTGAATGAGTCAATCCCCGCCGCGACTCGAACCCCATACCCATCGTATCGAACGACAAACTGTAATCCACTAAACTACAGAGACATCCAAAATATATCTTATGCAGTGGATATCAGCAGGAAAACTAAAATTCACTTGGAACGTTTGTACATTCGCCTGACAATGCCCAGAAATCCACGTCTTGGATTACATTGGTAACCACCGGCAACCAAGCCATCTGACTGCTTGACTGTTAATATTTCAGGCGTAATACTGATGAAAACGCAAAACTCAATTAATCTGGATAGTGTAAATATGAAGAATTTACAATCACCCAGTATGTATATATTCACACAGTCCACCCATTAATGAAAAAACAACAGTTACAATAACGTTAAATGGGGACAAGAAAAGTCAAAGGAGTAAATAAATATGAAGGGGCATCTTAGTCAACAGGGAGATAAGCCTAAACTCTATGAATTATTTATCGTTATAATGCATCATACAATAATTGTATTTGAGAATTTATTATACTTTTTTTCCTCAATGAAATGATACTCTCTTATATGGACAGAGAAAAAAAGAATAGTAGTCATAATAGTAAATAGTTATCCTGTCACACCCTTTCTAGAATGGCTTCAGAATTCATCATCTTCTGTCCAGTTAGAGATTAAGCAAAAAAGAAAACAGTTCAATCCGTTTTGTTTGTCACAGTTAGATAATAATGGTCATTTGATGGTGAAAGAAAACGAAGGTGTATTCAGTGTGAGATTCGTCGAATCCCTTAGAACATACAGAAGACAAAGGTGATAAAGATAGCCAACCAACTAACTAACAAAACAAGAACAACAACAACAATAATCACCAATCACTGTCAACCAAAGAAATTTAAAAAAGTGATCACTTCCTTCACTTATCTGGCCATGAGGCATCCTTCCATCTACAGATAACAGCACGGATGAGGATATCAGAGCAAGAATCTGAAAGACAAGACAGACTTTCACCACACTGAAACCAGTTTGGAGATCTTCCGCACTCAGCATAAAGAACAGAATCCGTATTTTCAACACCAATGTTAAGTCAGCCCGTCAGTTCGTCTATACGGGTCAGAAACTTGGACAGCACGTCAAAGAAAGCATTTCTAACAGGTTGAAGAATTTTATCAACAGCTGACCCCTTCGCTGGCTCCAGACTGAAGATCGCATGGCCAATCAGAAAGAATTATGATCAAGAAACTCTGAGGATTAACCGAAAAAAATCCTATTGCTCAGTAAGTATGGTTGGAGAAATTGGAGATGAATCGGGAACACACTGAGGAGACAGTTAAATGACATAGCCCACTAGACCATTACTGGAGTGGGACCCGTGTGGGAAACAATGAGTTGAGCGTGAATGTCTGGAGGTGACATGGAGGAGACTGTGTGAGAAGAAGGTAAGAGATCATGGGCAATCGTGTGGCTAGCTTAAAAGGGTGACGTGCAGATGTGCTGTTGAAGACCCATGTTCCACTCGGAAACCAAACGGACAATAACAATAATATAATGAATTCAAAAGAAGTCTTCTGGACAACTGAGACCTAACTAACTGGTGATGTATTCACTACCACCACCCTTTACGTATGTTTTCAAACCATCTCTTATCATAATCCCTTAATCCTATCACATCCTCATTAAAACACAGTTTAATTACTTCCTTTACAATCAAGCATTACTCAGTCTGTCCCATCTGTTTTTCTTAGCCTTCATCGACTACTATGTCTACCTGAATATGTATCTGTATAATCATTCTGTTTTTCACTATCTCTGCTATCACAGATCGTCCCACTTTTTCATCTTTGTTATTGATAGAATCGTTATTCTTAATATTATTATGACTAACTGCACAACTGATAGGCAGCATATTACTATCCTATTGACAAATCAGTGTGATTGGTTTATATTTAAATATGTATTTGTAAAGTTCCGTAGGTATATTAGAGTTAAGCCTAATGAGATCTAACTGAAAACAGCATTATTTGCCTACATGTGTAATTCTAAATTACACTGAGAATATTCAGTATTTTGAAAACAATTCAAGCTTGGATTTAAAAATTAGAACAACAAAAATGACGTTTGAACTGGTGGTCAGTGGTATGTTAGCTGAAAATCAAGGATTCTATAATGTTTCATTCCCTTACGTTCCAAGTGAGTTACAGGGCTTCATGTTCTGAAGATTCAGTAAATATGCCACTGTTTTCATAGGCTGCTAGCTGCCTACTTAACCCTTCCTATTTTCTGAGCCCACTACATACAGACAATTGACTAGGCAAGCTTCAGAAAGTCTATCAGCCAAGAATCTAATCCAAACAGCTTGTATGGTAGGCGGACATGACACTGTTGAAACACCGATGAGCAGCCCGTCAAACTTATAGATTTCAACAGAACATTTTTCAGTTATACTGAGACTTTACGGGCGGCCGAAAACACATAAAGATGACTAACTCTGCGTCCGAATAGTGTCTCAATGTCTGGATCTCCTAACGATTCATCTGCAGATTTACACTTATGAGTACTGTACGGCGCATATTTGAGTGCATAAAACTAAAGTACACTGACTAATCTAAAAAAATTTAAAATGTCATGCGCAAGACATTAATTACTATCTATTGTCCAATCAAAGTATTTAATACAGCCCTACAGGAGGTCAATCGCGAACCCGCTTAGTGGAGACGTCTCTAACTGTGACACAGGATGACGCGGGTTTGAATTTCCGAAGAGACATGATTGCAGATACGCCTTGCTGACTGGTAAATGCTCAACAAACATGAAACCCAGGTCAGGTAGGACTTCCTTCTGACCATCTTACCGAGCTTCATAATGTATGGAACTGAGCAGTACTTAAACAAATCATTTTGCCAGCCTAAGACATAATAATAGAGAGGAAGATCAACCTACAAGACAGAAATATTACGTCATTTAGCAGGTGGATGTTAATGATGGAATCCAAAATACGTGTCCTATGTGATTCAGAACTCTTCAGAGAAATGTACTCTCATTCCCAATAAGTGATCTTACAGTAACCTCTATACTAAGAGCCGAAATTTCATCAGGGATCGAGCATTTCGGTTCTACTAAAATCGGGCAACAGGAAATTCATTTTATCACATAGTTTACAGCGATATAATATCCAGTTGTGCTTTGCACGGATTTCACTGTTTGGAGGCCTGATCATGAGCTGACATCAGTTACAGAAATATTAGAGAACCAGTAGGGAGTAGTGGACAGATTTTTCTTTCTAGGCTGAGGCTCCCCAACGGTACTCGCCCACCAGGATTCGAATCCAGGACCTTCAAGTAACAAGGCAAGCCCATAGACCATTCAACCACTGGGACTCAATCAGATGACTCTTGAATTCCACCTTCCAGTTCACTATATACATATAGCGCAACCGCCGGCCAATATCACAGGCAAGTAACTGTTCATTTCCCTGACTTAATAGAGCCCGCTAGTTACGACTTCTCACGAGAACTTCCTGTGTAGACCTAGTCACTAGTGAGAATCAGATTAATTATCAGTTGTTAGTTTGTAGGGATTTGAAAGATATAAATGGAGGGGGGAGATTAGTGATAAGAATGTGTCAGAGAGTATTGATGAGTAATTACTTAAGGGAGATTTGGTATGACTTACCCGAAACAAGGAATCCATTCGAGTGAAGACTGAATAAAGCGATTTGGAATATTCTTCCACCTTTCCAGTAGTTGGTAACAATTTATCTGCAATGACAAAAAGAAAACATAGAGAAGCCCCCTGAATAACATCTTAAGTAAATATTTAATAAATGCATATGAACTCTGATGAAGACTTAACTAGATACCTTGACAGTAATTGGGCTGGGAGTTAAAAGCAGACTAAAGGAGGGCTGCTTTACTCACTGAGCGACTAGAATTTCCAACCGTGAAAGTGCTTAAACAATTCTGTATTTTTATTGTTTTATTCGTGCAATTATACCAGATGACCACAGCATGAAGGAGTGCGTCGCTTGCATGCATATGGGCAGGGATTCGACCCCCAGCCGACTTACTCCTATACCTCGCTAAGCCAGAAATAAAGCTGGTGAAGAGGAAACGTTGGGCATGCGGCTAGCAACCCCATCCTGTAAAATAAACACTGCTACAGAAACTTCAAGCTACTAGTTTGAAGCCCTATGTTCCAGTGGGGAACGTGAATGATAAAAAAAATGCAAAAGAGGGGGCTCTCGTGGTCCATTTGGCTTAGTGGGTAACGATTTGGCTCTGGAAACTACGATTACTGGGTTTATACTTCAGTGGAAAAACCATTACTCACTGGGGAATGCAGATACGTCTAGAGACTAGTCTCAAATAGAACGAAATACCCGTTGCCTTGGATTCTACTACTAGCTACCATTCACCAATTTATTTCTGTACTATTTTTTTCGCATACTGTCTGAAATAAAGTTTCATTATTATTATTCTATTTAGAAAAAACCACTTTAATAGATCTCAGCGAAATTGAAATGAACTGTTCCAACGCTTTTACTTATGTCTACTGAATAAATTTGTCTGAAAAGATGACACTTTTGGCTAGAGATGAGTAGTTTCAATGTAGATTCAGTCATAAACCGACATCATTTAGCGAACCATCGAAGTACTGATATTAGACAATCGAGCTAGCATTTCTTTAACGTTATGGTGCATCAGTGAATGACTAGAGTAGGTTATTCTTGAAGCGGAAACAAAGAACGTTTTTCTCAATCATCTCATTAGACGACTTTTAAGTATCTTACTCACATGTCACCCTTAAATTGACAATATTTCGCTCATCTTATATCTCCATCATATTATATTCATATATTCACATTGACGAATGTACTTTTCATATATCTAATCAACTGTGACTCATAATTCATAAGCACCAATATTATCGCACTTTATTATTTCCATTCATTGTCAAAATGCCTAAATGTTCAATAACAAAGCATCTTGTAGACTAAGGGCATGATATTGAGGCGCTGTCAAGTCATTCACACTGTTGTAAGCAGACAGACAAAGAGGGAGATTGTGGAGGCTTGTGCAATTAGAGTTAATGAACCAGGTATCTCTGGGTGTACAAGAGGAAACAGTCGTCACTCTGAACCTACCATGGCAATATGTTTTACTTTTCAACTGCTTTTATTATTAATATCATTAACACTTTATTCCATCTCTTATTATTACTATTCCGCATTCATTTAGAATTGTCTTTTATCAGTAGCATTATCCCAATGCGTTTTAACCCTATTGTAAGTGTAGAACTTGGACACTGTGGTAGAATGTAATACTGCATCGTTTTAACATTATTATTACTTTTATTGTTACTGTTATCAGCATTACTAATCTTTTTATTTCTTTACGTTCCCAATGGAACATTGGGCTTCAAGATAGAGGCTTGAAGTTTCTGTTGCAGTGGTGATTATTTTTACAGGATTGGGTTGCTAGCCTCATGCCCAACCTTCACTCTTTACCAGTCTTAATACTGGCTTAGCGAGGTAGAGGAGTGAGTGTGTGGTCGGGGATCGAAATGCGTAGTCGGCAATCCCACTACTGCTGTGCCACCGACGCACGGCACTACTATTATTATCAATATTATCTAGTTTGGAATTCTTGATATATACTCAAGTTCTTTCACTCACTGACTACTAATTTTTCACTTAATAGGTGTAATTGAACCGTATAATGCATTTTATCTTAATTCTATATCTGTCCTATTATGAAGGGTATTCATCAGATGAGGTGGTGTTCTACCGAAATTTGATGAATTCATTAAATCCTGCTTTATTAACTCTTGTTGCTTGTTTTAAATTTGTGTCGGGAAATAAATGTTTCCAATTTCCCAATGCCTTAAAGAAAATTTCATTTATGAATACCGTCTGCCATGATAATTTTGATAATACTGAGTGGTCACTAGGAAGCAACCAATGGCATGTTTCTGGTCCTTTGTATCAGTTGTGATTGGATTTTATCAGTCAGTGATGCAAAATGATCACCAAACTAGGTGACTCATCATCATGAGGTACGATGAATCCGTGTTAGATGGTTCAAATCTAACACTGGAGTATACAGTGCATCTGTTACAGCCCTAGAGAAGATCAACCTTGAAACCAACTGGCTTAGTCATAATGTCTTCGATTACAGTGTTGGTTTATGCAGGTTCAAACCTCCAAGGCAACATCAATTCCTTTAAGGTTTTCAGATGTACTTTAATGACAACTGGCAGCAAGGATGAAACTTGGGTACAGAGCTTCCTACTGATTACATCAGGTTGTCTGTCTTCGGAACAAACAGTGTTGACTGGAACTCTTATAAATATTCTACTCACCGATGATACTCTTGTCCTTCGCATATTTTATCATAACGCTTAGATTATTGTCCATTTCACGGAAGCAGTCCAGTGTCATTGGAGTGTATTTCTTCAACAGACATTGATCACCAACTCCATTCGTATTACTGTAATTATTATTATGATTATTGTTTGAATTGAAAATGCTCAATTCCGATGGATAGGATGATAACTGATGTAGTAGATTGTAAATTATTCGTTTGCATCGCCTTGTTATAGTGTCACAATGTGGAGATTGAATATCTGAAGTCTAAGAAATAAAAGCAAAGATAAGCAAAAGGTGTAATCGTGATGAATTGAGTATCACCGAAAGACAATGAATCTTTGTACACAAGATAAACAGATGACAGAAGATAATCAGTGAATTACAATCATTTTCTGCATAGTTTTATTTCATCATCACTATTCACAATACAGGTGAATAATGTATTCAATAAGCATAAAGAACAAGGTTCGGATTTTTTCAATGCTAATGTCAAATCACCCAGTGATTTTATATGGTTGAGAGACTTGGAACATGTGTCACTACAAGAATTTCCAACAGATTGTACACTGTCATCACTGGCTAACTTTTTCTAGCTTGATATTGAAGATACTGTATAGAAAGGTAAGTCTTACTCTTACTTACTTACTGAAGCCTGTGTCCCTCAATGTGCTGTTCTATCGCCTCCTCCTCCTCTTTGTTCTTTCTTTTTACATGACTGACTTGCCTGTTTCAGAAGAAATCAACCTTGCTGACGGCCTGGCATGCTGCCTCGCTGCCAATCACTTCCTGAGCTGACTGTTCCAAACTGACTTTATGTCCAACATTAGCTAGTGGTTTAAGCTTAATGGTCTTATGTTAAATCCCTCCAATTAATGTCAGATAGTCTGTTTCAAGTTCAGGAAAAAACGTGATCAACATGAACTTGTTCGTTCCCATGGTGCTAGTAGCTTAGGAGGCACTGATAGAGAGAACGTGTCAAGGATAACATACCTTGTATTACTTCTATCCTCTCACCTTTCTTGATTGATTATTCGATATCTTGTCGATTATCAAGAAAATGCTCCGTCTAACAACCGTGTACATTAAGAAGTTAAAATAATCTGGAATTACTCAGAATGTAATTTTACAACATGTTAACTCCTGCATCTTACCTATTATTCAATGTCGCTCCCCTCACCCTTAGTCTCTCCTGGGCTACTCAGATAGGACTACGTCATATTTTGACAGGTTCTTAAAGTTCTCAGTAGGACAATTGATGTGCCTTTACTAAATCAGGTCGTTATCACTGTAGTCAATAGACACCTGAACTCATGCTGCAGATGGTCTAAATCCATACTGTCTAACTATCAACACCCACTCTCTATTCTTAACTCTCACTCACCTTGAATCTCATCAGCTAGGACTAGAAGTCATCACTCAAGATTAAATACTCACTAGCACAACGAAGCACACAAACTCAACGATGCCATAATTGGCCAGCCCACCTACGTCCTATGTGATAACGATAGTGTTAAACGTGAAAATTATGACTAAATGTGTCATTAGAATTCAACACTGACTCAGTTATTTTCCCATATTTGTAATTTTATGGTGACACTCGCTATCCCAATTGTCTTATAAAATTTCTGTTATTAATACTAATATTAATTATTTTCAAGAGTTGATTCGTAAGGATTAGAGTTCTTTATACGAGTTTGACCACGGATTGATATCAGTTAGAGAACCATTGAAAACAAGGAGTACTGGACAGCTGTTTCATACTAGTTTGGGAATCATCGGCAGTACGCACACACCACAGTGGGGTTCGAACCCAGGACCTTCCAGTTACAAGGCAAGCTCGTTTACCATTCAGCCACTGGGACCCGATTCAATGTCCAGCCTATGAATTCTAACTTCCACTAATTCTTGATTTAGCGCGACCACCAACCAATGTCATCGGAGGGACATTCATCCTCACAACTGACTGGTTGGACCTCACTGATCATGTGAGGATGAATGACATTGGTTGGGGGTTGCGCTGAAATCACGAACTGGGAGGAGTTAGACTTCATTGGCTGGCCATTGAATCGGGTCCCAGTGGCTGAATGTTGCACCATTTATTCCGTTGGCTGTTGTTGTTGCTGTTGGTTAGTTAGTTATCTTCATCATCTCTGCCCTTTCTATTTATACTTGAAATCGTGTCTTAGTTGTCAGTCTCTCCTATCAACTTGTTGATTTTCATCTCCTAACTTTGTTCTATTTAATGCAAAAATAGATCAGGTGTCTGTTCAAATGCAATCAGTTATCATGATAAGATGTCCTGGGAAATAAAAATCCTCAATTTAAGAAAATAATTAAAAAAAACATTCACTCACTACATTCTTTTCGGTCGATTCACTGTTGATATTTGGTAAATAAGCATTCAATTCGGATAACTTAGATACCAGTACCAACCAATAACAATCACATAGTAAATTCCATGTCGCTTGTATATCTTGATTTATCCTGTTTTCAAAAGTTAAATAGCGTACAAAGCTTTTAATTCAGAGAAATAAAAATGGTTTTGTACATAAAAACTAGACCTCGATTAATCACTAGAGTGTAACCAGAGTTATGCGTGAAAAGTCCTTCTCAATGGCTGACGCAGATGTATCCACTCCTTGTGACATATAATTTCCAATAAAACTATATTGTTTTTCGATATTACTATTCTTTCTGCCTCATAACTCTGTTTACTGTCTCTGTTTGGCATTTCTTTTTACTTTCTTCTCTGGCTTAATGTGCTGAGTGAAGTGTGGCGACTCAAATTGCTGCACATCTGTGCAAAGTTCTATGTTGAAACCAGTTAGTCAGTCATTTAGTGAAAGTCATCAGCAGGCCAGCTGACTAGCCATCTTGATGCACTTTGGATTTATGTTATTTGATGATAGTCAAGAAACAGTCTACAACCGCCTCACATCAATTCGAAAGTGGATCTCACTTACTCTGTCTGATTGTAGTTACATACTTACATTTCTAAAATTATACGACTAAATTTCAAGATGAATGGAAGATTAACTGCTATAATGTGTACAAAGAACAGTGGAAAACACGGAAAAGTTATTCTTCTACTAATATATGATCTGTTGATACCACCATAAATGGTAATTAAGGAAGCAAGTAAATTTGCATAAAACTGCATACTACTGAATGATTGAGATGAGTAGTTTGATACCACTCACACCATCAACTAGTAGTGCTTGTTAGACAAATCTGAAGATTTGGAGACTGTTTCGCTCATTCGCAGCCGAGCTCATCATCAGCACTCAACTTTACTCAGCTCAAAGGAGAGCCGAGTCATCTGCAACCACCCGATGTTTGGTAAAGTGAATTCGATTTATTGTGTCACCAGTTCACCAGAAATCGGGTGGTTTGAACTGATTCGGCTCTCCTTTCAGCTGAGTCAAACTCGAGCTTGGCCCCAAACTAGTGAAACGGCAGCCGGATGTTTAGGTTACTTCGGTCCAGCTGACTAACACGCACTACTGGGTGATGTAGTAAATGGTATAAAACTACTCACCTCAATCATTCAGTAGTATATAGTTTTACAGAAATTTACTCCAATAGGATTTCTTCATGTACCTCAATGATGAACAGTAATGCAATGGGTCCACAAAATGTCAGAAAAGAAAGTTATAAACTGGTGCAAACTGCTGTACACCTGACTAACTTGTCAAATTATCACACATACTTGCTTTGTGTGCTACATGGAGTTTGGCGACTTGAACTGCCGCACATATGTGCAAAGCTCTATGTCGAAAACAGACAGACAGACATACTGGAAAGAAGAAAAGACTAATGAGGCTCTAAGGCTACGGTTATGAGGACAAACGCAGTTTCGGCACATAAAGTTGTCTATAGGATAATACGATGGTGAATATAAATTGTGCAATTAGTCATAATAGTAGTAATGATAATAATAATTATAGTAATAATAGAAATGGTCTTATCAATAATAAGGATGAAAAAGTGAGGCAATCTGTGATAACACGAATAATGAAAAACAGCATGATTAAACAAACAACTGTTCAGGTGGAAGTAGTCGATAAAGGCTAGTAAAAACAAATGAACCGATTAAGTAATGTTAGATTGTAAGGGAAGGAAATGAAACACGTTTATAATGAAGATAAGATTAAGGGATGATAAGAAAGGGGATGAAAATTCAACAATATCCACCCTTCGCTTACCTTTACTTGTGAAGAGGAGCAGGACAATAAACTACATTTCCTGGATGTCTTGCTAAATAAGAGAGAAGATGGGTCACTTGGGAGAAGCGTGTATAGAAAAAGCACTTTCACAGGGCAATATACACACTTCCTTAGTTACGTGCCCATTAAATATAAAAGGAATGTTGTAAAATGTCTTGCGAGCAGAGCAAGAAAGATACGTACAGATGACCTCTTACAAAGGGAATTTGAATATATTCACGAATCCTTGATGGAGATGGGCTATCCGAGTAATTTCATAAAGAAACATATGAAAACATCGGAGAAAAAACCGGAGACTCTGACGGCACGTAAGAAACCTCTATTTATTAAGTTACAATTTAATGGTGACTTATCAAGTGAGATTCTATTCCAACGACTTTCAAGGAGTATACGAAGAACATTTTACGCAGCACACCTATGTTTGTCATTCTCTAGCCGACGAATGATTGCGACGCAAACGAAGGATAAGCTTGATAGTTTTGCCACATCTATGTGTATTTATCAATTCAACTGCACCTGCGGTGACAGTTATATTGGGCGTACTACTAGACAGCTTAGCCAACGTGTTAGTGAGCATCTCCCATCGTGGTTTGGCAAAGGACAGACAAAAACAATCCGTAGCTCAATTTTGTCACACTTAATTGATAGTGGTCATGTAATTGAGAAAACAAGAGCTTTCAAAGTGATTCATCGTATCCCACCGAATCTTTCCAATAGACTTCGTATTCGTCTACTACATACAGCTGAGGCAATAGGCATTCGAACTATTAAACCTAAATTATGTATTCAAAAAAAGTTCGTACAGCCTTTATCTCTCCCTTGGCCTATTAGGACGTAACCAACTAATAACTTCTACACCACCCTTTGTTTGTATTTTCATCCCCTTTCTTATCATCCCTTAATCTTATCTTCATTATAAACGTGTTTCATTTCCTTCCCTTACAATCTAACATTACTTAATCGGTTCATTTGTTTTTACTAGCCTTTATCGACTACTTCCACCTGAACAGTTGTTTGTTTAATCATGCTGTTTTTCATTATTCGTGTTATCACAGATTGCCTCACTTTTTCATCCTTATTATTGATAAGACCATTTCTATTATTACATAAAGTTGTGATACCTTATCTTTGTTTGCACATCATTTGCAAATTGGTCGAATATCACCACATTCAGTAGTTTGTTGGATTCTGCACAGTATTGTAACGATTTTCTTACAGTTCACATCTTCGACTGATTTTTCCAGTGCCCAAAAACATACTGTTACTTTTCTGAATTCGTTTACTGATATACTACTTAAATCTGATTTTAAGTAGCACTCAGCACAATACTTCTGAATGACAGATGTTATATGGAAGTCACTACTCATATAAATCAGAAAGGTATACTATCATGCTATTTTGCTTATTTGCCTGATCATAATTTGAAAGTATCGAATGGGTTGTTTATTGTCATCTGAATATTCTCGGTTATTACAGGAAAACGCGGAGAAGTATCACGTGAAATTACAAATTTGCCTTTAGTAGATTTCAATCTCTACTCATATATTCTAGCAAATAAATTTAAGCAACTCAGTATTCAGATGTGCGTTGGAATCCTAGTCGTGTGCAGTTCCTGCAGGTAAGTCCTAAACGAGGTAAACGAAACAGCCATCGAGTACCCCCTGCAGGTTTCCAGTGGTTCTCTAAATGATGTGAGCACGTGATTAATCATGCAGCTAACCAATTCTCCGCAAACCAACAATTCGTAGTTTCCAAATGACGAACTACATTCCTTGTATTCTCAATTAGCTCGAGTAGCTAGCCAGAACTATGATAGCTTCGAGTGTTTCAGCTCTCTGAGTGGATGAGCTGGATCTAAAGCCACCAAAACCATTGCCCAGTGTTCACATCATTTCCATGTAGCTAGAAAGCATTATTTCTTGAAGCAAACGCGCTTCAACTACTCATATGACATTATCAGTAGTATTTCGGATCAAAATTTCTGTCCTACAGAATTACTCATCATACACCACTGACTAATCCTAATAAACTCCTAATATATTTTCCGTCAGTCAGAGTTATACTCGGACATATCTTGACTTCATTTCATGCAAAATCATGTCAAAAAGAAAGACAAAGTGAATATTCATCTCATTGTCTTTTTTTCGTTCGACCTGTAATCAGGGATGAGTCAGTCAACATTACTATTACTTCTAAAATAGACGTATGCATTAAGGGACAAAGGTCAAGTCATGAGTAAAACCACCGATGGCTAGTATTTCGCTACATACTACAAAACAATATGCATTATTAATTTATGGTGAGCTACCAGTTCAATAAATTCAAGTTACTTAGTCATTACATAATCATCCATGTCAATGACACAGACTGATCCTATTTTCAGATCAGCCCGATATATTACGTAATACGGAAGTGTTTAACTCTTCATTCTCTACCGACTGAAAATAAAAAACTACCAACACGTATGTCATCATCAAACAATTAATCGATAATCCACTCAGGCATATCTTCACCTAATCAAAAAGACAAATGTAATTTCAGTCAAAATCATATTTAACAAACAAAAAAAAAAGAGCAGAGTGAATACTCATCACATATTTGCGTAAAAATTGTAACCAGGGATTAGTCAGCCACCATTATTTTACTATTACATCTAAGATAACTTTTCACTAATGGACAAATCATAAATAGTCAGATCTTGTGAGAATGAGTCATGCATAATTGACACCGTTGTAAGTGTAAAACACATAACTAATTAATGCAATTAATGCATTCCTAATGATGCTATTTTACTGTAACCTGACAATAATGACTGACTGGCGTAAAGGCTTTACATTTTCTGTGGACATTGGATCGATTTCCTGATATAGTGTCGCCAGCTTCACGCCCATGCCTTTCTCTTTTCCAGGGTCTAGGATCAACTAGAATACCAGAGAACTAGTGAATTGAACTTAGAGGCGGAAACTGACAAGCAGGGCGTATCTTCAATCGGCTTGAAACAGTTCATTTCCCCTCTGACACTCGAACACTCACCATTCAGTGATGCAGTCTGAATTTCAGAACGGACATGAGATCCTGCAAGGTGATTGGAGATACGCCTTGCTCAGTAGTGAGTTCCAACTAGCACGACACCCAGGTCGAAGGCTTCCTATCGATTGCCTCCAACCACCTAATACCAACAATTCACAGTGCACCGTCATGGAAAGCTATCTAGCCTGTTAGCGGCTACATTGCTAACTTAACTGACTGGTAGGATTC